CCATTGCAAGGAAAATACCGTGATGTGCCCGAAAAAGTCGTCCACAACTACTATAAAATAGCGCTCCCTGTACGGCCTAGTGACAAAGGCAGAGCCCAAGAGGTCCATACGAAGGGTTTAGAGCGATGCAGTGGCATGATACATCGAGGAGTGAGGGGTGGCGCGCTGCCGACCCTCGACGCAAGGAGTGCACGGCGGCAAAGACCAGGCAGGCAGAGGTGGGAACGATGACGGGAGACCTGAGACAAGACCGCAGTAGGACATGTGATGGAGACACAAGAGAGCGGGGTGACCTAGATGGTGGTGCCATCGGAGCGACGGATGGGAGAGGGCCCGACATGTGCACGACGCAACAACCTATCCTAACCCAGTAACCGGGTGGGACTTAGTGCGCAGTGAGAACAGACCTGACACAGGCTCCCGGTGGGACGTGGCAAGAGGTGCCCTAGTGGTAGTGTCCATACCGGTCGCAAACCGCTAGACTCCAGGGAACGCGGTGGTGAAACGAAGGTCTATAAGACAACCGACACCCACCAAGTTCCTAGAGAACGAGGGAACGTGCAGACAAGTCAGGGACCTAGAGGGGACTGCCGGACACCGGAGAGTAGTAGTGCTGCGAGTGACGAATGGTGCCGGAAGCGGCGTGAGGCTGGTGTGGTCACGGAGGAAACACTGAGACACGCCCGAGTCAAGCATGAAGGAGAGGGACGTGTCAGCAGTGGTCGCACATGTGCAAGGAACATCAGAGGATCCTTCACTAGAGGCATATATAGATCCTAGTATAGGAACACACGAACAATAAGGTCCAGCAACACTATCGTCAGAAGCATACATACCAGGGGCATAAAACAAAGTATCATGTAGAGCAGGCATATCCATAGCAACCCATGGCAAAGCAGTGCAGTCCAGTACGGAATCTGCGCCGTAGGGCCGTAACGGGCGCGGTAGAGGTCGGTGAGGCAGCTAAAGCACCGCGCAGCAAGGTGGTCACCACGGCCGCATACCTAGTGGGCATGTGGTCCAGTCTGGATCATGTCCTGGCAGGGCCCACGGTCGCGGCCTTTGCTCCTGGGGCTGATAGAGCCCCACTGTTGCTGCTGTTACTGAGGCGGGACCCACGGCTGAAACTGCTACGGCTCCAGCTGCTGGAACTTCTCCAGCTGCTGGGACTGTCGCTGTTGTTAGTGCAACTGCTGTTGCTACTGCTGCGCCTGTTGCTACTACGGATGCGGCTGTTGCTACTGCTGCTGCACACAACCCCCACCAGGACCAGCTCCTCCTCTAGACGCACCACCTGACCGCGCACCTCCTACAACGTCAGCTCCTCCAGGCGACCCACTGCCTCCGCCACCTCCTCCACCTCCATTGCCTCCACCTCCACGTCCCCTTTACGGTGAGAACTGTTAGAGGGTCCCACGACAACAAAAGCCCTCGACGACCTTTGACTCGGCAAGCTAGTGACTGACTGCTGCACTGCGGCACCGACACGACAATTTATTGACGGTCATGTGTTGACCGAGTGCGATTACGAGCAGCTGTGTAGGAGTCGGCGCAGGGAGGCGTGAGTCCGTGGGAGTCATATGTGCTTCCTTGCGAGTCACGCCACTCCCTAGGTGTGTTGGCTGGAGTGGCGTGCATGGCATAGCATTCCGGTGCCGAGTTGGGTTGGAATTGTGCGGGGCGCGTTCTCCCACCCGCATAGCACTTTCGTGTGGTTGTTGGGCTACTCGCAGCGCCAAGCAACCTTTTCTATACCCTTGCTTGCCTATATATGTTAGTGTGTTTGCTTGTATGGATCACATTATTACAATTTCTACTCTCTCCAGATTCTATTTGGAATCCTAGAGGCAATTGCTACCGGAACGCAAGTGCAACACTGTTGTGATAGCTAAAGCTCTCTCGCTATCGCACAGCTCTCCAGTATATTCCTTCATGGTGCGGTGAGCGTGGAATGAACACGCATAACTTTTCGTTGTCGCTAGTACTAGCGCTCGTATACCCGCCTTGATGATTGCGACGATAATAAAGGGCTCCTAGGAAATTCAAGTTGAACTTTCTTTAATTTCTCTCCAATATAAATCAAGACGACCCCGAACCGAGGGATTCAAACCAAGGACAATATATTTGATTGGTGGTACCTTTTGGAGACGTCGTTGAGGATGAGTATGGAGGAGGCGAACGTTGAGGCCGGTAGTTGACACACATTATAGGATGATCTCGTGGCCCGTCATTCTCGTGGTGGGCTTAGAACAACGGACTACGAGCTCATGTTGGAGGGACTACGCTCTCATCAGCGTTGCGATCATATCTCACCTCGTATAGAGAATGTTGAGCAACCGGCGGGAGTAACTAGTGCGTGGGCAATGGTTAGCGACGATGGGGATAGCAATGACGAGGAGCTTGATAGAATGGTGCCGCGTGGAGTCCTGCGAGGGCCGGATCGTTTTAGTACGGCTAGCGTCGTCAGTGTACATGAGCGTGTTCATCGAGCAGCGGCGTCACGAGAACGTGAGAATGTAGGACAGCGGAGCGTTGCTGGAGGAGGAAATGTTGAGGGGTTCGATAGTGAGGCTATGCCCGGCGTTACCCCGAGAGGATCAATGGCAAGGGACGAGGGAATAGCACCCAAATTATGGCTACTTCAAATTCACTTCAGACAAGATCATCGTGCCTAGGTCGTTAGAAGGACGTCACCACCTGTCGAAGAGGACATAATCGATCAAGCCGCAGCTTGAGATCGCTCAGCTGAAGCGATTCATGGATGGTTCCACCCCCATTCTCCCAGCGCATGCAGTGGCACTCACTCAGTTTCGCACAGCATAGCTATTGACGTTCACCACCATTTCCCGTTGATGCTCCCCCTCAGTACAGATCGCCCTCACGGCCTGTCGCTTGAAGGTATATGCCGGCTTTCAGCATGGCAGTTTATCATGCGCACGTACATGGCGAAGGACGATTTGTACATAGGTCAGTTAGAGCCGGCGCTCACTAACCTCGAGATGGGAGAGCACGAGTCCGCCACATCCTATTGCAACCGTGGCCGGTGTAGATTACTCGCAGATGTCGTACATCACTCTCGTCATGAAGGTGTTGCCGCAGCAGTTCAACCTCTTACGCTGGATGCTGAAGCTGCCACAGGTGTGCAAGGAGTTGGACAAGGACACCCTCGTCAGTTATATCAACGAGGAGGAGTGTACGTTGGCGGCGGAGGGACGGAAGGACCACTTTCTTTCCCAGGCAAACCAAGTGTTTACCAAGAAGGGTAAGCCCCAATTTCATCGGACTTCATCCCCATCCCCTCCCACTACGGTACAACAGCAGCAGCCTAAGCATAGTGGTGGGGTTGGTGAAGGAGGGGAGAAGGGGGAAGGGGCTAAGGGGGGCCAACCGATGGGGGGGAAGGGGGTATCAAGGAGAATTGGTACGTGTGTGGCAAGACGGGGCATGTAGCTAAGCATTGCTCGAAGCGGGCAAATAAGGAGGTAGACAAATGTGGAGAGGGCTCTCGAGGCAGCAGCGCGAGCGACAAGGAAGGTGATGGCTCTAAGGGGAGCGGGCAGTCAGCATGTGCGATGGTGAAGCCTGTAGAGCATCCTCCTCCCGTTGTTTTGGAGCCTGAGGCCGGGGAGGGCTTACTGGTTGTTGCAGCTCCTGTAAAGGCGAGCCCGAATGTCGTGCTGCTGGACAGTGGATGCTCCCATCACCTTATGAAAGACCGACCTGCCTTTGTGGAGATGAACAGTGGCGGCGGTATCACACAGGTTTGAGGAATCAACGACGCTATTCAGGAGGTCCAGGGGCGAGGCACAAATGCTCTTCTTGGAGAGGGGGAAGGCGGGTCTTGGTGCCGGATGTGCTGTACGTACCTGGATTGCAGGCGAGCCTCCTCTCTGCTGGTCAGCTGCGGGATTGTGGCGTGGAGCTGCTAGATGCAGGAGACGTGAATCTGCTTCAGTCACCAGATGGATCGCTTCTTGGTCGTGTGGATTTCAAGAGGCGTGTCTTTGCACGAACTTCTAGCCATGGTCGTTGCTGCAGCAGGGAGGTGAAATGGTGGCCCTTCGTACGTTGGCGGGCATGCGATCTAAGGTGGGCATGTGGCATGCGCGTCTCGCACACATTGGTGTTGACGCCATCTAGGGTACTGCGGCTCACGGGCCAGTAAAGGGCTTGGAGCTGGAGAAGGGGGGCAATCCAGGCATGCCTTGTGTCTCCTGTGTTGGGGGGAAGATCGCTCGTCATACCTTTCCTTCCGTGGGCGACGAGGAGGATGAGCTACTTGGGGTGGTGCATGCTGACCTGTGTGACCCTTTTCGTGAAGCAGCTAAAGACGACAGCCGTTATTTCCCGGTGCAGAAGGATCGCAAGACGCGGTATGTCTGGGCCTACCCTTTGGCTCAGAAAGGCGATGCTCTGGCGGCGTTCCAGAATTGGCTCCCGATGGCAGAGCGGCAGTGCAAGACAACGTTGAAGGCGCCTCGCACTGATTGGGGAGGCGAATACCTGGATCACAACTTCACGCTCTTCCTCGAAAAGAAGGGCATCACCAACGACCTTACGTGCCCATACACACCGTAGCAGAACGGGGTGGCCGAGAGGGAGATGCGTAGCATTGTGGAGGCTGTGCGGACGATGTTGCTGCACAAGGGCGTGCAGCATCATTGGTGGCACTTGGCGCTAGCGCAGGCCGTCTCGAAACGCAACCGTGTGAAGCACGCTTCTCTACCCTCACGAGTGATGCCGTACGAGCTCACCTTTTGACGCAAACCCGATGCCAGTATGGTGCGTGTCTGGGGCTGCATGCTGCAGTACATGGTGCCGCAGTCGCATCGTGGGGGGAAGCTGGCGCGTAAGGCTCGCTGGGGATTGCACTTGGGGGCGTCGGCAACGAGCAAGGGCTTGCAGTACGGGCTGGACTTTGAGTCCAAACGCCTCATCACCACTATGGACGCACTTTTTTCATGAGACCCTTAGCAGGATGGAAGGGAGTCCTTAGCAGGATGGAAGGCTTGGCATTAGCAGGAGCATGCGGGGCGTCCGATGCCCTACGAGCCCCTTCCTTCCCTCTTGCAAGGTACTTTGAGGAGGAGGTGGAGGAGGAGAAAGTGGTCGCACCTCCTGCTATGCCCTATGTCCCACCTCAGTTCCCACCTCACATCCACCTAGAGTGTATCCTCCTGTTATCCCTCCTGCCCCGCCTACCCCCCCACCGCCCTCCTTGGCTTCCCCTCCTTCTCCTGTGATCTCTTCTCCCACTCCACACTGCATCTTCCCTGTCCTCCTCTTCGTCTTCCACAGCGCCGCCCGTTGGTCAGGGGGGGACAGTGGTGTCGCCTTCTGTGGTGATCGCCGACGAGCAGCGCCTTGTGACTGAGCAGCTGGAGGACGAGAGCAGTATGGATAGAGTGCAGCAGAGTGGGGGACAGCAGACAGTGGAGCAGCAGACAGGGCAGCAGCAGAGTGGGGAGAAGTAGTGAGGGGAGCAGTAGACAGGGGAGGAGCACTTTGGGGAGCAGCTGATAGTGGGTCAGCAGACAGGGGAGCCGCATACGGGGGAGCAGGAGATATGGGGAATTGGAGATGGTGGTGGAGTGTTGGTTTTTGGGACGATCACTGCACCACGTCGCTCCACTCGCATCACTCGTGGTGTCTCGCCGGTTCGATACGCTTGGGCAGTAGTAGTTGAGCCGGCGGGTTTGGACTGACCTGGACCCGGACGTGGTAGCTGACCCTGAGAGACAGTGGGATATAGCGAAGATGACAATGAAGGAGGCCTTGGGCTGCTGGAAGGGAAATATGGTGAAGGAGTTGATGGATGAGGAGATGCGGAGCTTGGTCGAGCAGGGGACGTGGGAGATGGTTCCGCGACCGCCAGGGGTGAATGTGATGAAGAACCGCTGGATTATAAACACCAAGTTCCGACGGATGGGACAGTGGAGCGTGAGAACGCGAGGCTGGTAGTGAAGGGGTTCACACAGGTGGCAGGGGAGGACTATGACGAGACGTACGGTTCTGTGGGAAGCTATGTGACGGCGTGTGTGCTTCTAGCGATCACAGCTGCACTCAATTTGGATCTCACGCAGCTAGATGTGAAGAACGTGTTCCTCCATGGTGTGCTGGACCGAGACCTTTACATGGAGCAGCTGAGCTACTACGAGGATGGGACTCCATGTGTCTCTAAGTTGCTGAAGAGTCCATATGGGCTCAAGAAGAGCCCTATGTTGTAGTGAGGCCTTAGATGGGGTGTTGCTTGGGGCTGGATGGAAGAAGAACCAAATGGATTAGGCTTTGTACTTCAAGAGTGTTGCTGAGGGGGAGATGTGCTGGCTGCTGGTGTATGTGGATGATTTTCTTGCTGCCAGCCGCAGTCAGGGCATGCTGGGGGAGCTGCGTGAGCTGCTGCAGAGTGCATTTTAGCTACAGGAGATTAGCCCTATTGATATTATCTGGGGTTGCAGCTGATTCGGGACAGGCCTACGAGGAGGTTGTGGCTGCACCAGGTGGCCTATGTGGATAAGGTCAATAGCCGCTGTGAGTGCCTCGCACCACTTTCTCCTCTGACCCTTTCAGTGCGCAGACCTTAGAGGATGTGAGATGACAGTCTCAACAGGAGGAGGAGTACAGGCAGAAGGTGGGATCCTTGAAGTTCGCGGCCTGTACCATCCGCCCTGACATTTCCTTCACTTGCAGCAAGCTGGGGTCGGGCAAAATTGTGGGGAGTGATCGGCACAGGAAGGAGTTGGACTGGTGCTTGGCGTACTTGGTTGGGAGTGGAGTTGTGGCGCTGGAGTTTGGTGGTGGGCCGGAGTCCTTGGTCTATACCGACGCGGATGATGCGGGAGTCAAGTAGAACAGGAGCAGCACGGATGGCTATGTCTTTGTGTTCGGAGGTGCAGCTGTCTCCTGGGCGAGTCAAAGGATTCGTTGCATCACCCTCTCCTCCACGGAGTCTAAGTTCATTGCTGCTGAGGAGGCTGGGAAGGAGCCGCACATGCTGCGCTTCTTGTTGGCAGAGTTTCAATTGCTTAGGAGTGAGAAGCCCACTTCCCTCTTCGTGGACAACTCCTCCGCCATTGCAGTGGCAGGTGGCATGGGGTTTAAGGGGAGCCTCAAGCACATGGAGCGTCGCAACATGTGGCTGCAGCACATGGTCAAGCGCAGGAAGTTGCAGCTGCAATGCGTCCTTACGAGCGAGCAACCGGCTGGTTACCTGGCGAAGGTGTTGCATTTCCCTGCCTTCTGCCGTTGTTTTGACGCTGTGGGACAGGTGAGGCTCTCGAGTGAAGGGAGTGACACCTAGACACTCCATGATGGGGATGTGCCATGGCCTATTCATGGTTGGTGCGGTGTGTGTCTCGACAGGATAAGGGCATCCAGCTTGCACTGTGAGAGTGTTGCTATGTTGTGTGTATGTGTGATGAGTCCCTTTTCGGTGTGCATGTGTGTATGTATGCCATGTGATTATAAAGGGCCTTGATGTAGTATGACAGGGGAGTGTTAGAGGGCCCTACGACAGCAAGGGCCCTCACGAAGTGATTGACTTCGCAGGTCGACAAGGTGACGACCAAGACTTATAGCATCCCGGCACCGTCACTATGCTTCAGTGACGATCACGGTGGATCAAGTGTGACTACGAACAGCTGCGCAGAAGTCGGAGTGAGGAGGCGTGAGTCTGTGGGAGTCTTTGGTGCTTCATTGTGAGTCACGCCAATCCTTGCTGTGTTGGTGGAGGGGCATGCACGTAAGCGAGACTCCGCTGCTGAATTGGGTTTGGAGTTCAGCGGGGTGCGTTCTCCCACCCGCACGACACTCTCTTGTGGTTGGGTAAATCGCAGCGCCACGCAACTTTGTGAAACTGTCCCGTACCATATATATATATATATATGTATATGTGTGTTTGCTTTTGTATCTACCATATTACAATTCTTATATTTCCGAATGCTACTAGAAATCCTAGAGGCGATTGCTACCGGAATGCTAGCGCAACACTGCCGTGATAGCTAAAGCTCTCTCGCTATCGCAACGACCTCCGGTATATTCCTTCATACCCGACCTCTCTAGTCCTGCGCACATGATCAGCCAAGGACTTCCCCTCCAAGCACTGCCGGCACTGCTCTGCCATCCATTCGCCACGTGTCAGCCCGCCAACGTGTCTCGCCACGTGGGGTCCCCGTGGAGCAGTTCGCACTCGCCGTCGCCACAACCACTGCCGGCCGGACAGAGCGTTCGCTGCTCCCAGAACAACAAGAATTCACCAAGGGATTTACGTTCCAATGAGAAGTCCGCAAAAATTGACCCCTCGCGGCTCGGCCGCCATGGCGGCTACGGCTGGGCGCGATCGTCGCGGGCGCCGATACGAGCAGCCCCGTGATAGGCGGCTCCAGGAGCGGCTTGATCGATCAGAGTGACGAAAGTAGCCTAAACGGTTAGAGATTTTTTTCGCAGCAGCGCGACAAGATATGAGAAGTAGACACGGGGCGACGCTGCTATGGCAGGCATGGCTGACAATCAGGAATACTATATGAATTTGGCATGGTTGACATAGTAGGGCGGATTGCTAGCTTCACCGCTTTCAACCATTACTTACTAGCTTGAACATTGATAGATGGGCTGCGAACAAAGGAAGGGTGACACACCACGCGTCACCTGAAGCGGATAGATCTGCTGGAAAATCGGTATTGCACGCTGGGTGTAGCACTGTAGCCTCGTGATCAACAAGGTAATTAGTATTCGCCGATGTTTGCGAGTGTACAGTAAATATTATGGCCACGATTCTGTCACCTACGCCGGTCCCGATCGAAAAAACGTAGGGCCCATATCGATCGTGAGATTGAAGGGCGCGATGTGAGACTTCGAGCCAAGAGTGACAATCACGATCTATCGCCGTCGATCCTCGTCGCTTAGTCAGTGTACGACGTTGTATACGAAGGGTTACATTTTTCAAGCACATGCGAAACCCCTTCATTGGTCCCGTGCGACTCCAGAAATGTTATCGCAAGTTGGGTGTACCAAACCCGTAGGGCGTGTCACATGGGTTCATTTGGTGAGAAAACCTTATTTTTTACGTAGATTTGAATCAGCGAAGGAGTGTACATTTTCACGAAAATAAGAACGTATTGCGTCAGCACAGCGCCAAACGAAATTGCTGCACGCGGACTCATACAGCCCCGCCCACTCAAACTCATCATCCGATTCACTTTTAACATGGGCTGCGAGCGGTAACCCGCCCCAGTTGCAAATCGACTGTGGAAAAGGTGACGGAGTTCGCACAACCTTGAAACATGGAAACTACCATGCCATCCCCTACGACGTTCGTTAATTTCGCGCGACTGTGTGTTGGGCGAATTCTCAGATTGGGGTAACGGACTCCATGACGTGGTACGAGGTGATCGCGCGTACCATGGCAGCAGTATTTCAACGCGGTTATTACAAACCTCTTGACGTCCACAGCGCGTCATTCTGGCGCGTCCTTGAAGACCCATGTCTACAATCTTGTATTTCGTAGGTCATGTCCCACGAGTTCGTTTACAGTTCATTCTGAGGGTTGTAACCCGATTTTCCGTTTGCAACCCTTTGAAATACGACACAGTAGAGTTGCGTCTTCAATGACGCGCCAGAATGACGCGCTGCAGACGTCTATAGTATCATATTGCACACGTTCAGAAACAGCTGCCTTGGTACGTGCGGTCGCCTCGTACCGGATCCTGCAGTCCGTTACCCCAATATGAGAATTCGCCCAACACACAGTGCGAAAACAATGAACGTTGCAAGGGGTCCCTATTCGCACCCCAACACCAAAATCCGTCAAAGTGTACTCTGTTTTGCTGACTCAAAGTTACGTAAAAAAAAAGGATCTCCCTAAATGAACTTATGGGGCACGCCCTTATCTTGCTTTCTGAACCTGTCACTCTATATCTGTGTGGCAGCTGCGATTGTATTTTTGCAGCCCTCGGCACCAATCGCTGCCGAGCCTGGGCTCAAAATGAAGATCAGTGCGGATCGACCGATCCTTGGCCGACCCGCTTCAGGGCTCAGTTCGGCTGCCACAAAAGAAGGACGGAATAAAATTTTGAGACTTCTTCTATGAAGCTTTTAATCGCATTATCGAGGGCTGTACAGTACGGGTTGTAGGGTTACATTTTCGGAAACCGAGGCGCATGTGTTTTACAGCAGCGACGCGAACACCACCTAAAATTGTTTCCGCGCCGTCTTCTTTCCATATTCCCCCCACCTTGGCGGAAAGCTTCCGCCCTGTCCGAATAGTGAAGGAAGGAATGACTGAACTAGCAAGCAGGTGGGTACAAGTAGGAAACCTAAAAGTGTTGTACCCTATATGAACTACCCCACTACAGCCTACACAGACTATAGCATATAAGTTTGACACACCCCCATAGGCAAAGTGGGGGAGAACAGGAAGTCACAAGACCGGTCAAGAAAGGCAAAGCAAGCTCAGGGTGGATCACGACGTCACCAC